TAATAGTATGCTATTCAATCTCCATGATTTTTAGTATTTTGTATTTTTTTTTTTACTTGAGGTTTATTTCTAGTTTTAGGCCCTTGTGGTTGGAGAAAATGCTTGGTATGATTTCAATTTTCTTGAATATTTTGAGGCTTGTTTTGTGTCCTATCATGTCATCTATCTTTGAAAATGTTCCATGTGCATTTGAAAAGAATGTGTATTTTGTTTTTTGGGGATTAAAGGCTGTCTATATATCAGTTAAGTCCATTTCATCTAGGACATTGTTCAATGCCACAATGTCTTTGTTGACATTTTGTTTGGAACATCTGCCCATTTTTGACAGTAGGGTGTTAAAATCCCCCACTATAATTGTGTTGCTGTCAATATGTTTCTTGAAGTCCTCAGAGATTTTCTTTATGTATTTGGGTGCTCCTATGTTGGGTGCATATATATTTACAATATTTATGTCTTCTTGCTGGATTCTTCATTTGAGTATTATGAAGTGACCTTCTGGGTCTCTTTTAATGGTTCTTTTTTTGAAGTCTATTTTACCTGATATGAGTATTGCTACCCTGGCTTTTTTTTCCTGTCCATTTGCTTGGAACATTTGTTTCCAGCTCTTCACTTTATTTCTGTGTAGTTCTTTTGTTCTGAGGTGGGTCTCCTGTAGGCAGCATAGGTGTGGGTCATGTTTTCTTACCCATTCCACTATTCTGTGTCTTTTGATTGGGGCATTATTCTATTTACATTCAAGGTTATTATTATTTTTTCTTTTTTATAAAGATTTTATTTATTTATTTTTAGAGAGGGGAAGGGAGGGAGAGAGAGAGAAACATCAATGTGTGGTTGCCTCTCACATGGCCCCCACTGGGGACGTGGCCTGCAACCCAGGCATGTTCCCTGACTGGGAATTGAACCTGTGGTGCTTTGGTTCACAGCCCGTGCTCAATCCATTGAGCTATGCCAGCCAGGGCCATTTAAGGTTATTATTGATAGGTGCTTATTCATTGCCATTTTTTCATACCTGTGCTCCTCTTTCTTCCACTGTTTTTCATTCTGTTCTTAAAGGAAACCATTTAGTGTTTCCTGCAGAGCTGGTTTGGAGAAGGTATATTCTTTGAGGCTTCTTTTGTCTGGGAAGCTTCATATTTTTCCTTCCATTTTAATTGAGAGCCCCACTGGATAAAGTAATCTTGGTTGCAGGTCTCTGGTTCTCATTACTTGGAGTATTTCTTGTCATTCCATTTTGGCTTGGAGCATTTCCATTGAGAAGTCAGCTGCTAGTCTTATCAAGGATCCTCTGTTTGTTACATCTTGTTCTTCCCTTGCTGTCTTTAATATTCTCTCTTTATCTTGGAATTTTGCCATTTTTATTACGATGTGTATTGAAGTGGGACTCTTTGGGTTCCTCTTGATTGGGATTCTGTGTTTCCTGGATTTGTGTGACTTTTTCTCTCATCAAATTAGGGAAGTTTTCAATCATTACTTTTTCAAATAGGTTTTCTATTTCTTCTTCTTCTTCTTCTCCTTCTGGTATCCCTATTATACAGATATTTTTACATTTCATGTTGTCTTGCATTTCCCTTAACCCCTCTTCATCTTTTCTGAGCCTCTTTTCCTTGTTTCCCTCATTCTGGGTGCTTTTTTCTGCCTTGTTCTCCAGCTTGCTGATCCATTCCTCTGCTTCATTGACCCTGCTTTTGGTTTCTTCTTCTGTGTTCTTCAGTTTAGAAATTGTATCCTTCATTTCCTCTTGGCCCTTGTTGATAGTTTCTATTTCCTTTTTCATGTTGATATAATTTGCAGTGAGTTCATTGTAGTTTCTGTATAGTTTCTGGTACCTCATTGTGAGTTCATTTAGCTTCCTTATAACCATTGCTTTGAACTCAATGTCAGATAGTTGACTTTCTTCTGAGACTTCCTCCTTTCCTTTCATTTTGGGATTGTTTCTTTGTCTTCCCATTGTTTGTGGGAATCTTCTTTTTTAGCCTCTGCTTCTTAAATTTATCTGTTTTGACTCCCTGGGTTTATTGTGTGAACTTCTATCATAAAATACCTGTGAGATTCAGTGGCGCCATTCCCTTGATCTCCTGAGGTCACTGGTCTTGGGTTATCTTTTATGTTGGCTCTGTGTATGTGTTTGGGATTTGATTGCTGTTGGGGTTTTCCTTGGTGGGTCCTTCTTACCATCTGGTTAATGGAGGGTCATTCTGTCCACTATCTCTTGTATTCTATTGTGCAGGTGTGAGCAGGTTGTTTTGAAGTTGGTTCTTCTGTGTGTACAAGGTTTTGAGGATTCTCTCTTGCTGTTGTTCAGTCCTTTTTTCTGGATAATTTCTCCATCATTTATTTGTATTTTCAGATAGGTCCTGGGTTGAGTTAGTGTGGCTTCCACTCCCTTCTTCACCTTCTTCTGTTGTTATCTGTTGGTGGTTCTTTTTTTGGTGGGTTTCTTCTTCTTGCAGGTATCCTGGTGTTCACAGCTTCCACCTTCTTTTTTTGTGATCATTTGGAGGTGGAAAGGCAAAATGGCTTGATACAGCAAGAGTTTATTCTATGATATTTACAGTATCAGCCCATAGAGAAGAGATAGGAGCACCTTTGGATATGTATGGTGTTAACAGTGATATTTCACCCATTTGGCCACTTTTTAGAGAGGGTGAAAAAAAGTAAGATTCTTCTTTGCAGGGGAAGGATTGTGAGTTTGATCTAGAAAGCAGTGAGCTTGTGGAAGGTCAGATTATGAAGTAAAGTGAGAGTAAAGGATAGAAAATAGGTGTAGTGTGTGAGAGAATAGAGTTAACCACAACAGTAATAGAGTTCAGGAAGCCATGAAGTGGACTAAGATCTGGGAGGGATGTTGTGTAGTATTTACAATTGTATGTAACAGCTATTATTTACAATGATAAGGGAGCAACAATCCTATGACAACAATCATATGTGATCTGAATAACCAGAATAGGAAGTATAGGACCTAGAGGAGTGTGCTAATGGAACACAAATGAAGTGAAAGACAGTAAATTAACAATACACTATGAAAGAGAAAACAAGGGAAACCAGTCATACAATGCAATTTAACCAACCAAGCAAAGAAGACTAATCAGAAAGAAGAGAATTACAAAAATACTAATGAAATGAAAGATGTAACAATAATGAAAAGAATTATGATACAAATATGCAATACCTTGCAAGTCTTCTGTAGTAGCAAAGTGAAATTTGTCTTATTGTTTCAGCTGTTGGGGTGCCCCCTCCTTGGGTCCATATCTGGTCTTTTCACCATTCAAGGGTATTTTTTGTCTTACTTTTGGGAATTATATTTAACAAAAAGGAAGGAAGAAGAGATAAAAAGGGAAAGAAAGATGGAATAAAATAAGGATGGTGAAGGAGAAGAAAAAGGAGTTTGAGGATAAAAAATAAAAAAAAAAAAGAATTACTTAAAAAAAAAAAAAACCTCCTGCTTACTTCAAACTGGCCAAGCCAGTTTTGCTGTTCTTCCTGGCTGTAGCAGGCTGAGAAGTGATTTCCCTTTTCTCCCTTCCTTATTGGCAGTTCAGCCTCCAGCCCAGTTCCCCAGCAGCCTCTGGTCTGGGCTGGCACTTTCCCTGGGGCTTTGGGTGTGGGCTTGGGGCCCTCCCAGAACGCACTTTCCTTGCATTGCGGGCATGTGTGCTTGGCCTGGCCAACTTCGTTCCCTCAGGTTTGGGTGTGTACGTTTCCCAGGGCTATGGGAGTGTGTGCAGGGACTTCTGCACCACCTTGGGGGGCTGCACGGCTGGGTGTGGAGGAAGCCAGAGTGGGTGCTGCAGGAGAATTCCCTAAACAACCACCAAGTGTCTCTTTTTTCACTTTTTCTTTTTGAGAAATTCCTCCTGTTCAAGTCTGCTGTTCCACACAGAGGCCTGGCCTCTCACACAGCCCACCTCTCCAACCAGACCAGAGAATATCCAGGTCAGGGTCCATCACAGCCCAACTTTCAACTCTCAACTCACACCAGCCACGTCCACAGACGCCACAGGTGCTCACAGTTCCTGTGTGTTTTCCACTTAGTTCTTATTCCCCTCCCTGTGACTTCAAGCAACCAGGACTCTCCTGGTGCTGCTCAAACCTTGTTTGGCTGGGGAGAAGCCATTGACCCAGCTCTCTCCCAAGAACTTTGTGGCAGACCCAGTGGGTGCCGGTCCTGAGGTTGCAGCTGCCCTGGTCCCCCTGCTGGTCCCAGGGACCTTGTTGTCTTGAAGCACTCTCCTTACCATCTGGTTTTTCAATGTCCTGTGCAATTTTTGGTCTCTACTCATCATATATGCTGGGGTACTACTGGCTGTTCACTCTGTTCCTTAGTAGGTTGGCTGGGTATTTCATCTGTGAACAGGGGGTAGTGGGCTCTGCTCCACCTACCTGGCCTCTATCTTCCTCAGGCAGAATTCTGAATACGAATAGAATAGAAGGAAACAAGACTTTTTCCCCCAGCAGCTTTCTTCATTCACCGCACAGTATAGTAACATCATAGTATTTAAAGCAATACATACAATAATTGTTTATATTTAATAAACTTTGTAAAATTTCTGTAAACAATTAATCTATGAAATATACATACTTCTGCATAAATTTCTGGAAAATGACCTCATTAGTAATGATACTTTCCATTTTCATGCAAGCCATACATAGCTACACACATTGTCACAAAATATGGTAAAAATATTTATAACTGAACTCAAGAATAGGTATATTTGAAGCAATATTTTTAGGAAAAATGGGAGGAAATAGCTCTCAAGAGAAAGTTATCATTCAATTATTGTAACACAGGCATTTTGATGTGGTATTCCAGGATCTGAGAGTTCCTGAATACCAGGAACATGATAAAATAACACTGTGACAGATTTTACCAGGAAGGACTATCATAGGTTATAAAGCAAACTTTCCACCCCTATCACTGCCTCTTCAGAACAAGGGTTGTCACTGCATCTCTGGTCCTGATTAACACCCCTCAGAGTGTCCATTCTGACTAGTCACTGGCAATGCAAATCCCATGGATTTTCCTTGTGTCTTTGGCTTGGGTTTGTAAGTTGACTTCCCCCTTACTTACCTTTTCATTGTTTTTATCTCCAGAGTCAACTTTTTCAAGTACCTCTGAATTCCCTTCCTTGCATTTCAGATGGAGACACCAAAATGAGAATAGCTCAAGATCAACTCTCTTTTACCCGGACACCAGACAAAACAGTGCACATAACCTGCAAGCTGTCTGGGGTTCCCCTTGAGAATGCCATTGTGCACTGGTATGAACAAAAAGAGGGGGAGCCCCTGAGACGAATCCTTTATGGCTCAACCAAAAATAACAAGGATGACCAGCTCAATCCCCGCTTGGAGACATATAGGAAAGATGATGGAATCTTTTACCTGATAATCAATAATGTCATGAAGTCCGATGAAGCCACCTACTACTGTGCCTGCTGGGATCTCACAATGCTGCAGAGTCAAAGGAACCTGTAAAAAAAACCCTTCTCTGTTACTCTCTCTACTCTGGTTACACTTGAACAACCACAACAGACCCTTTAATGCCCTTAATCTTAAGTTCAGAAACTGTTGGTTCAGGGAGGGCTCTTAGGACATGTTCAGCACAGTGTTCACACTTGAATGAGGAAGCTGGGACCAGCTCAGAAATGGCAAGCAACTTGTCCAAAGTTCATTAACCACAGAGATAAGGCTCCTACTTATGTTTCAGATTTTCAGTCCAGTGCCTTTTATCTCTCTGATGGTCAGTGTTCAATTTCTTTTTACCAAATTGTAATTTTTTCAAAAGGAAGCTATAGCAACTAACTATACCTTGTTTTCCAAGTGAGGGCCCCAGTACCTGATGAGGTCTGATATGTAGGCAAAGTGACTTCCTACTGTTGAGAAGAGATAATAGTCAGCAGGGGATGGACTCCAAGCTCCTTCTATCCCCATGTTATTCAATCCCCCTTTCTGTCTCCTCCTGTTATTTCCCCATTACTATGTACTCCCCTTCACCTCTGTAGTTTCCTATGAGTTCTGAAATACCCAATATTCAAATAGTTTCCTGCCATACACAACAAATATGTAGGCATGTAGGAGGTAAAGACTGGTTTTTCATGAATATGAAAATGTTTGCCATTTACAGAACAACCTGCTGAACCAAGGTTCAAATTCTCTGCTCTTCACTCTGACCTGACACCTATCCTAACTTCATGGTTGTGCACTTGGTTACAAATATGATAACCCTGACCTGCTTTCTGTATTGTTAGTGTGACTCCAGACATTTTCATGTCCAAGGTCCAAGCACCCAAACCTTGAAAATAACAAGAACAACAGTAATAACAACAATCTACACCCTGACATTACAGCTGAAATCCCTCTTCTTGTATGTCTAATAAGTATCCCGAACACAATTATTGGTTCCAATCTCACTCCCTCACTACAACCCCCACAATTTGTATTAGGTTTTTTTGTACACTTTCTTGTCTTAGTACAGGATGAAAGTGTATTGTATCACTGAACACAATGGCAAGGATGTTTTGTCAAGCAGATGATGTTTTCTTGATTTTCCTACATTTTTAATTTATCCAGTAATGAGAGAATAATCGATGTCAAAACCTGAGGATTCTTTATACCTTTCCCGTGATATTAGGTCTGAAAAAAGAGATAGGAGTCCCTGGGAACTGTGGTTTCGCTGGCCAGAAAGTAAACCACAAACCCAGCCAACCCCAGGGGCACCACCTAAGAGTACAATTGGCTTTCCAGACAGAGCCCTCAACCTAAACCCTTAGATCCAGTGCAGAGAACTGCCAGTCCTCGCTCTCTAAAACTTAATGCAAGTTTAGAAACTCTATTTGTTTTTTAGCCAACATGTTCAGGGCAATCAGCAAGCTCATAACAGAAATAATCACTTAACCCAAACAATGTGTATAATTTGTACTGTGTGGTCCAAATATTCTCATGGACACTTTAATCTCCTAGTGTAATTTATGGGCAAGTGAAAAAAAAACTAAGTTGTAGAATTTAATTGGATATTCCAATTAAACTAGACCCAATCCTCACAGATTCTTTTGTTGGGTGCCTGTGCTGACTGCACATTGCTGTTAGAATAATCAAATCAAACATTTCACCTACTTTCTACTTAGGATGATATTTCCTGTAATTCCCAGAAAGCAATTATCCAATATTTCATACTTGACCATTTGAGATACAGATCATCTAATTATGTAGACCTGGAGTAGGCCTGAAAACTGTCCCTGCCACACACATCTTTCCAACTCCACCCAAGAAGTGTGAAGTACCTGAAAAAAGAGTTAGGGACTTTGAACTTTGAAATCAAATCCCTGCTTAGTTTGAAATCCCTAGCTTTCAGATCCCTCTCTATCTTTTAAGAGTAATAACAATTATATAGGTAAAGCTGAACAATTTGTATGCATGACTAATTCAGAGCAGATCCCACACGTGTGAATTTCCCTTTCTTTTACTACTAGAAAACACAGGGCTATGTCTTGTCATGTCAGAGCAAAGAGAAAGAAGGGAAGGCAGATTTGGGGCTAAGGTACATTGTTCTTTCTCAAAGAACAACTTTTTTTTTCACACAAATGTGCTTTTCATGCATAGCTGTTCAGAACAGACAAGCATATCTTGCTTGCCAAATGGAAATAAGTGCTTCACCAAACATGTTTCCCTGTAGGTGCTATATGAATTAAGAGGTATTTGAATTGCACATAATGCCATGTGAAGTAAATGAAGTGCAAAGGAGCCCTAAAAGACTAGAAATTCATCAAGTTCAGGATGAAGACAGTTCGTAAAAATGCTAAAGGGAAAAAGCTGCTTAAATGTGAAATGACCTGGTTCCTGCTGAACACGGACCTGGGTTTTTATAAAAAATTAAACGCAATACTTTCCAATAATCTATTGTGCTATACAGAAACATACCTGATATGATGTAAGTCATGGGTAAAATACTGTCAGACAGTATTAAGTCATGGGTAAAATACATGACTTAATTATGTCAGACAGTGAAAGCTATTATATTATCATACAAAATTATGTCAGACAGTGAAAGCTAGTGGTTCACAGATAGTAGTGATTTTATCTCTTGTACAAGTCAAATAATGTTAATTTTGCTTTAAGCAGCCTTCTAGACATCTTTCTTACAGAAGTTTCTGTAACTTATTCATGTACCAGATTTAATTAAAAGATTAAAATTTCTAGAAGATAAACCAATGTGGAAAATATGTGTAAATTTTTATGTTTTTCAAAATATTTACCACATCCTTGAATAAAATATGAAATGTATCTTCACAACATTTTAACAAATATTTTATTCTTTATGCTATTACAGTTGTCCCAATTTCCCTTTGTCCCCTTCCACCCAGCCCCCAACTCCCTCAGGCAATCCCCACACTATTGTCCATTTCCATGGGTCACACACATGTTCTTTGGTAAATCCTTCCACCTTCTTTAAACCAACCCCCACACCACCTCCTTTCTTACAGATCTCAGTCTGTTGCCTGTTTCTATGCCTCTGATTCTATTTTGTTTGTTAGTTTACTTTGTTCATTACATGCCACATGTGAGATCATATTGTGTTTGCCTTTGACTGGCTTATTTCACTTAATATTCTCCAGGTTCCCTTGTAACTGTCACAAAAGGTAAGAGTTCCTTCACTTTTACTGCTATATACTATTCCATTGTGTAATTAACCACAGCTCTTTTATCCACTCATCTTCTGATGGGCACTTAGGCTGTTTCTAGACATCTTGGTGATTGTAAATAGTGCTGATATGAACATAGGGTTGCATATGTTCTTCTGAATTGGTGTTTTGAGATTCTTTGGATATATGTCCAGAAGTGGAATCAAACTCTGGATCAGAAGGCAGTTCCATTTATAATTTTTTAAGGAAACTCCACACTGTTTTCCATAGTGGCTGCACCAATCTACATTCCCAACAGTGAATTAGGATCCCTTTTTCTCTGCATCTTCACCAGTTCTTTTTGTTAGATAGTTTATTAAATTATAGCCATTTTGGCAGGTGTGAGGTGATAGCTCATTGAGGTTTTAATTTACACCTCTCTTATGATTAGTGATGTTGAGAATTTTTTCACATGTCTACGGGCCATCTCATTGTCCTCCTTGGAGAAATGTCTATTGTGGTCCTTTGCCCATTTTTTTTAATTGGATTGTTGTGTCCTGGTTTTGAGAACTATAAGTTCTTTATATAATTTGGAGATTAAACCCTTATTTGATGTATCATGTTCTCCCACACAGTGGGTTCACTTTTTATTTTAATTATAGTTTCTTTAGATGTGCAGCACCTTTTTAATTTGATGTAGTCCCATTAGTTTATTTTTTCCTTAGTGTCCCTTCTGCTGGGAGACATGGGCAAAGATATCGCTATGCGAGATAGCTGAAACTTTAGTGCCTTTGAAATTTTCCCTGTTTTGGAATTTACTGCCTCTAGGAATTTTATGGTATTGTGATTTATATTTAAGTCTTTTAACCATTTTGAGTTTATTCCAATGTATTTGAGTTGGTGGTCTACATTTTTCTTTGTTGCATGTACTAGTACAATTTTCCCAACACCATTTATTGAAGAAACTATCTTTACTCCATTGTATGCTCTTATCTCCTTAGTCAAATATTAACTGACCACAAAGGTATGCGTTTATTTCTGGTCTCTATTTTCTATTCCATTGATCTATATGTGTGTTCTTATGCCAGTACCAGGCTATTTTGGTTAGAATGTCTTTATAGTATAGTTTGATATCAGATATTGTGATCTCTTTTTTTATTTTAATCATTGTTCAAGTACAGTTTTCTCCCTTTTACTCCCATTCCAGCCCACCCACCCAACCCTCCCCACTTCCCTCCCATTACCACCCTCCCCCTAGTTTTTGTCCATGTGTCCTTTAAATTTGTTCCTGTAAATCCTTCCCATTCTCCCCTGAAATTCCTTCTTCTCTCTTCTCTGGTCACTGTGATCTCTTCAACTTTGTTCTTCTTTTTCAAAATTTCTGGGACTATTTAGGTCTTTTGGTTTCATTAAACTTTTGGAATATTTGTTAAGATCTGTGAAATATGCCATTTATATTTCAATAGAAATTGCACTGAATCTAAATTGCTATGGGTAGTGTGGCCATTTTAATTATGTTAATTCTCTCCATCCATAAACACAATATATGCTTTCACTTATTTATATCTTCCTCTATTTCTTTCTTTCTTTCTTTCATGTCCTATAGTTTTCCAAATACAGTGCTTTTACCTCCTTGGTTAAATTTACTTTTAGATACCTTTTTGTTGCAATAGTAAATGGGATTGTTTTCTTGTTTTTTCTTTCTGATAGTTTATTATTGGTGTATAAAAATATAATAAATTTCTGAGTATTGATTTTATAATCTACCAAATTGCTGAATTGATTTACTAGGTTGAGTAGGTTTTTTTTTTGTGGGGTCTTTAGGGTTTTCTATGTACAATATCAAGTTAGCTAGGA